TGATTACTTAATTGCGGCTTCCTTGGCATAGCCTTATGTGTTAACTCATTGATTCTTCTAACGAGTTCTAGTGACTGGTTCGTTGACTTGATATTACTATTTGCCTCAGCTAGTTCTGACTTTAGCTGAGCGATTCTATTTCTCCTATCAGTGACTTCTTCAAGGTACTTTTCTCTTTCAGCCGTTAGGTTTTCCATTGCTTTGTTATGTCTATGAGCTTCCTCAGCATATCCATTCTTGTCAAACATTTTAAATAAGTATCCTGCTCCCGCAAATGCAAATGCATTAAAGAGTCCTCCTGCTACTGCTCCCGCCATTGTATAGTCTTACCTAGGTTTTGAATGGATCATCTGGTAGATATTTCTTTTCTTTCAAGTAAGAGACCAGTAGAGATGAAAGACTAACTGAAATAGCTAACTTTGCCATTCCTTTTACATTCTCTGGGGTACCTAATGGTTCTTTCAATAGTTTCTTTGATGCCATTGATATACCAACTGCTCCTGCTGTAAGTAACACTGTGTCGTACACTTCCCTAGTCATCTTTGATTCTTTACTCATTTTGTTATAATATATAGTATGTTTAGTGTATCATTCAAGTGAATCTAACTTGGACTCATCAGCTTTCTTGGTTACTTCTACAGTTTTAGGGATGAACTTAGGTTCTAGTTCCTTGGTTTCCCTCTGATGTGTTTTATATGCTAGCACAAGAGATATCAATGCAATGACCACTCCTATGTAGGTAATCATACTGTCATTACTAGGTGACTCGCTAGGTTCAGCCAGTTTCTTTTTCCTCTCCTTTGCTATTCTACTGATTGCAGCTAGTCGTTTCCCTGCAGCTACTCTTTTTGGGTCCTTCTTCTTTTCACTTGTTACTGGTACTTGAATTTGCTCAGGTTTATCTTCCATTCTACTTGTAAGACACCTTAGGTTTAACTTGGTTTCGTCTTATGAGATATCTTGAATTCTACTTGTGAGATAACTCAGATCTACTGGTGAGATGTCTCAAATTTACTGGTGAGATAACTTAAATCTACTGGTAAGATAACTGGTGAGATAACTTGAATTTACTTGCAAGATGTCTCAAATCTACTTGGCACTAAACTAGTACTTGTGTGATGTGAACTTTTGTTTGTACAGCTTTACATCGCTGACTACATTTTTCACCCTTACTGTTTTAACTTTTTTCTTAAGTGAGAAGTACTCGTTAATTCTGATACAGATTTGTATCAGATCGTTGGATATCATTGTCATGTACCCTATTTCCCTCAGTCTTTCGAGCCATAAGGCTTGCTTCTCACTTGTAATCCCAGTGCCCTTAGGAGACTTAAATTCAATTGCGAATCCTATGTACTCCCCCATAGGATTCTCTATAATGAGATCTGGCTGACCACCCTTATAGCCCTTCTTCCAGGCATCACATCTCTTTGACACCGTATCCTGATACTCACCAAGACCGGGTATTACTACAGCCTTAGGGTGGTTGTTCCTAATGTAACTCACAACTGTATGATGAAGGTCCGTTTCGTTTATGAGGATCATTTGGTTATACCTGAGTGACCTTCTATCCGGTAGTGTGTATGAGCCTGTTTTACGAATAGATGGAAGCACCTCACTAAATACCCAATCCTGAAAGTCCTCTGCTATTGGAAGTCTCGAGTTGAAAATTAGTTCGTATAATCCTGTTTCATATAGTAAAATTGTTTGTGGGTGACATTTTTCCAAGGTGAACTGGCTGGGTACCCTTTGGAAGTCTCTCACCGTTGCCTTATTTGACTTCCAAACGTTGTCTCTGATAGCTTTTTGAGGGTTTGAGTACCCTAGAGATTCCGCCACATCTTTTGCGTAAAACAGTACCTCCTCACCACTCTTAACAATTCTTACGCTAACATTCAACTTTTGGTTCCTGAATAATTTCTCCATCTTCCCTATACTATATATGTAAAAATTCTTTGGGCTATTTTATTCATTAATTTAGAGCAGCATTCCCTCTTCCCACCCAGCTGCTGTATTCTTCCTATTACAAAAAATTATTTTTCATTTAGATTCTTGTATATCTTTACAACTGTTTTTATTGTGTCAATTTTAAAAGCTTCAAATTCATATTGTAGTGGACCTACTATTTTATTCTTGAGGGCATTATGATCGCTCTCTAGTGAATCCAGGGTTGCCTGAATTTTGTCTAGCTGTTCCTTGTTCCTGTCAGTTTTCTCAATCAACTCGTCAATAATTGATTCGAATTCTGTTCCGTCCCAGGCGTTTCCCCAGTTGTATTGTGACATTCTGTATGTAATATCAGATGTTTAGCTTCCTCGGACACTTCCTCCTTCTTATTCCACTTATGGGCAACTACATGTTTAGCTGTTGTACAGCCACCAGATATAAGCCCTATGAATGGTATGTTGGGGGATATCGTTCTGGTTAGATATGCTACGTCGTCCTTCAGAAGCTTGTCGCTAAGTAGTTCCTCTGATAGTTTCTCTGAAGATTCCACTGCACCGAAACTTCCTAATACCGCAGCAAACTTTGAAATAATGAGTGTTGATAAGAAGTCCCTTGCACATGACATCCTCTGACTTTCGTACTCATGGTACAGTCTATCTACGACATCCTTGTTAGACTTTCTTATAAAACTTGCGGACTTCTCTATTATACCATCCCTCGATAGCTCTATAAGCTTGTCCCTCTTGTGTTCAGTTTGCGACTTATCTGCGGTAGACTTAGTTTTTCTTGCTTTTTTATGCGGCACCTTTGCGGCCTCCTCTACTTCTCTTACAGCCTCAAATATTTCTTCATCAGATTCAGTTCCCATCATCTATATTCTACGCGGTGTTTAGTTTAACAGTGTATGTGTAAGGGTGAATAAGTAGTACGTCCAGTGCGGTGAACTTCTCATCTTTTAATATCTTTGTAATCTCTGTAATTGTCTCCTGAGGAACTCCACTTAGGTAATCATCTGTTATGACCTTCATATCTCTGCGACTAGGGTTGTAGAATGTAACTAACCTGGAAATGTTCTCCCTGAATGGTTTTGCTACTGATGACAATTGTTGGGTAAGTACGATGACAGATAAGTTGTAATGTCTTGCTGAGAAGGCTAGGCGCACCAGTTCTGAGACTCTTTTCTTTACATCTTGACTTGCCGCACAATCGTCCACTATAATGAGAGTCTGAGTACCGCGGAATATGGTGGACACTGCCTTGAGAACAAGATCGATCATTTCTTGCGAGCATGGAATTTGTATAACTCCGTGATCACTAATATGAGTCCAATTAATGTAAATCATATTCCACTCTATGGTTGGACATATAATGACAATGTAATCGAAAACTCTATTGTACTCTGTTTCTAACATATTAAGCAGAAACTGAGTTTTACCACTTCCAGTCATTCCTACTATGAGCATGTTGAATGGTTGCATCTCTATGCTTTACCGTTAGTATTGAATACTTGATAGATCTCTATTGGCAAAGTTGAGGAGAGCATCTGATACAATAAAAATGTTGCATTGAACGTCGGCTGTTGTGGCTCTCTTTTTAATTTCCAGAAGTACTCCCGACTGTGTGTTAACTATCTTCTTACCTCCACCAGTGGTATCATCTTGTGTTGACCTAAGGTCGATTACTAGAGCGAAACCGTTGCTGAAGAACTTACTGATGGACATAAATTCGTCTGCCATTGATTTCTCACACATAGGGCAGAAGAATCTTTTTGCCTCTTCGAAGAACCTATTTTTATGAAGTCCTTGGGAGAAAACTGCATTAGGCACACCCTCAATGATAAGATTCACTTTATCAATGTTTGGGTAAATATATTCTTCAGAATCAGTTCTCGCTCTATTGGTAAATAGAAGGACAATTGCTGACATGCTCTTTCTGGGGATATTAATATTTTCATTGACAATGGTAAGATCCTTGTCCCAATTACTTGTACGCATAAGTGTAACATGTTTGTAGGACAGTGAGCGACCTGTTGAATACATCCTTGATACTTCACTCGCAAGGGTGTCATTCTCAATGGTCTCGTATTCTAACTCAAGATTGTCCAGTTTATAATTACCCTTAGCTTCACCTCCTTGGGCAGTCATAATCTCATCTGATTGCGGAAGTGTGAGGATGTACATAGGATTGTTATTCATGGAGAACGGTGTGTATAGTCCATGATCTGCAATTATTTTATCAATTGGTTTTCTCAGCTTAGAACCGTACACACTGTGGAGAAGTGCATCTGCTACTTTATTGGCATCACCAGCTTTTGCTCCTGAGTCATCGCCTGATATTAACTTCCTGAGATTCTCACTTGCAAGACCCTGTTCAGTCATCTTCTTCCTGTCACCTAGTGTTAGCCATAGATCTTTGTATACTTCGTACAAACTCTCTCCTGAACAGTCATAAGCTGTTTCACCTGCTACTTTAATCTGAAGACGTTTTGCTATCAACTTAGACAGGTTATTATTGAAATGGCTTTTTGTATTGGAATTTTTGAAGTCAAATAATAGTGCAAGTGATCCTGGGACTAAACAAGAGTCAGGCTTTAGTTTAGGGATGTTAATGTACAGCTCTTCACCTGGGCTAATGGTTGTTGGATTAAATGTTACAACACTTCTAGTTCTGGGACCTTTTACGGATGTCATACGGCTCCTCCTGAAGCCAGGCTGGAGTTCTCTTTCTGTGGTATTCATACTTGTATACAATATGTAATGTTTAGTTGTTCATGTATAGTAAAACTACTGCTGCACATACAATAATTATCCATATATTATCCGCTGCTAACTCTACTCCATCGGCTATCTTCTGGAATACAGGTGGTAGTTCTATTTGGTGGTTTACCAACTCACTGATCCGCTTATCGAGCTTTTCTGTTGTGTCACCTACTTTCCATAATATGTTTCTAGTTGATGCTACCAGTCCTATGATTACAGCTGATGAGGAAATTAGAACAGCTGATAAGATGCCTGCATTCTCCCTTGCCCATAACCTGAGCCTCTGCAGTCTCCTACGATCATCCCGTTTAATGAGATCCCTCTTTTTCACCTTATCTCTTAGGTTGAGAAGTTTATTTAAGTTTGACTCTCTTTGGTAATCATTTGATAGCATTCTGACGTACCTCAGTTCTTCCGACTTTTCTTTTAAACTGTCTTCAGCCAAATTGGATAGTATTAATTCATTTAACAGTCTGTCTCCCCTATCCATTAGATCATCGTATGATAGATTAGATAGACCAGGGTATTTCTCAGCTAATTGCTCTCTCGTAAGGTCTTCACTCAACATTTTTCTCCTCCTCAGTTCCTGTATGTAATTAATTTCCTCGTTAATATCCTGGGTCTCCTCAGTAGTTTCGCTTTCCCTAAGATCCTTGTCAAGGTACGGTAATTCGCTATCTAAAGTTTCTATATCCATTTCTTCATAGTTCGGATACTTTTCCTTCAACTCCTCCATTTTCTGGTCATCGTATTCCTCTTGGTGTTCCTCCATAGCTAATTTACTTTGTGTAATAGTTGTATACCATTAAGGCTGCAGCTATAGCTAATACCCATAAGTGTGACGCTAACCAGGCAATTCCTTTGGCTCCCCATGATAGCGCCGTTGCAATGGTGTTCAGAATTGGAACTAGAATTGGTCCTGCTTTCTTTGCTAAATTTGCTAATGCTTTTGCTACTTTACCAGTGGCCTTTGCTGTCTTCACAATGGCTCCCCTAGCATGGATTAACAAGGCTGTAATTAAACTAGCTGTTGACACTGCTATCCCCACAAGTCCCACCTTTTCCTTTCCTACCCAGTCTATAAATCTACGTAATCTAGCAATATCTTCCAACTGTGCCTCTCTTGCTTCCTCTATTGTTCTCTGTTCTAGTGTCCTATCCCTGGCTTCCTTCAAACTGTCAATTCTTTCTAGGAGGGAATTAAACTCAGTTGTACCTTCCGCAGAGGTAGCGCGTTCCACGGTTTCACCAATAGCTTCATTAAAGTAGTCAGCCTGAATTTGTAACGCTCCATTGGGACCTGTTCTGCCTTCTATACTTGATCCATCAGGTGGGTTAAGAACACCTCTCAGTTCATTATTTTCTTGCATTGTTAGCCCTGGAAGGTCTCCTAGTTTTGCGCTTATATCTATTAACTCAATGTTCTCACGGTCAGCGTATTCCTCACTACTTTCATTAAATTGCGGCTCTTCTCTGGTGTCCTCTCATCACTTCCAATTATATTGTCAGGATCCGTAGGTACCTCTTTTATTTTCTTTAGAAGGTTCTTATATTCTCTCAGAGCAGGTGAGTCCTTTGAGTACACTAGATTCTTGGTCTTACCACGTTTCATTATTTGTGTCCCACTTTTATCAATACCTTGTTCACTTCTAAATATCAACACCTCTGTGCCATCTTTGAGTGTTCTTACAGATGATCGTTTGATGTGTTCCCTGACATATTTATTCTTAGGGTCTAGTATTAGTCCCTCCTTACCCTTAATAACTCTTGTGACAGCTTGAACACGCTCTACTTGGTTTAATTTTCAAAATCTCTCTTTTTATTTGCTGTGAGCCTGTCTTCTGAGAACTTTTTCAGTTTCTCTAGGCGGGCTTCTATTTCATCCCAGTCAGCGTCAAATGATTCGTTGAATGCATCTAGCACATCTGGAAGTACATTGTTTGGGTCTTCCACAAAGTTGACTTCTGGGACGGTTGTACTTCCTGATGGTCCTGAAATGTTCACTGTACCATCATTTCCTTCGGTGAAAGTTGTTCCTGCTATTGCACGTCTCTCCATGAGATTCTTCACATAGTCCAGTTCACTTTTAAGATTAGTTAATACTATAGGGTCATCACCATACATAGCCTCTCCCTTCACCCTTGTATCTAACCTACTAAAAGCTGTCGTTAGGTCATCATAATTAAGATCGTCATATTGAGGATAACTTTTTTCCGTCTCCTCCAACTCAATGTCATCGTAGTCCTCCATAATACTTTAACTTATGTTAGGGACTTTATATCTCCAGCTGGGATCCAACTGTTAAATTTGTCATCATAACCTAACCACTTAACTAGGGCCATCTTTTTACCCTTCAATGTTCTTCTTCTTAGTACTTTCTCTATTCTGAAATCAGGTTCTCTTCCTTCAGCGCTATATAGTTCTTGTTCATAGAATCTGCCAATTATTGGTTCATCAGCACTGTCTTTTATTGTATACGTGTTTGGATGACCGTGATACACTTCCGTCACAGTGAACAACTCCTCTGTGAAATTTGCTTCGTACCCTTTTGTGAACACTGATTTGTACTTCGAGATCCCGACACTTTCTCCGACAGCAAACTTTGGTTCTGACGGCTTGCCTAAATTGTGACTAAAAAGTGTCTTCCATACTTCAGTCCAATTGGAATCATTTACACTGTCCGGTGTTGTTTTAATTGATCTGTTCACTGAACTGTTGTAATTATCAGTTAAGTCTTGAAGGACGTCTAACCATTTATATGTACTGGCACTATAAAAGTACTTCCACATTAGAGCTTTCAGTGTTCTGTTAAATCTTTCCACAACTGCGGCCTTTTTGTCTGAGTAAGTAGAGAAAAATTCAATGTTATGTTTATTAAGCAATGACTTTACTTCTTTGTTGTAGAACTCTGTGCCCTGATCAAACTGGGCGAATTTTGGGTATTTACCAAAACGATTATTAAATTGCTCTAAAATGTTACTGACTGCGTCCTTCATTGATGTCGCGTTTTTTCTATACACAGGTACCGTGAATGCGTACCTACTCAGTATTTCAATGGATGTGAGAATCCAGCGGTATCCCTTGTTCTTGTCGTCATATTTTGTCATGTCAACTAAATCCATTTGTAACTGTTCACCTAAAGTTTGGACGTACGTCTGTCTGAACTTATGTTTCCTAAATACTTGTCTGTACCTAGTGTATGTGTCTTGCTCGTTTATCCATTTCTTGACCTGGTTTCTGGTTACTTTAAGTCCGTCTGATACTGCTCTAAGATATAGTTTCTCTGGTGTTTGGAATCCTGTCTTAGGATTGTAGTAAATATCTCGTAGTCCCTGTTCTTTCATAATATCATCGTCCATCTTATATTAACTAATGTAAGCCATCTACTCAAGGTACATCTCAAGTAGCACTTAACCTATATCAATAGGTTTCCCGTCTTGATCAGTCATGTGGAATACAAGTTCTTAATAACCGAAGTCCTACTTTCAACATCAATGTAACTAACTACCGAGCCTAATAATGGTCTGTCAGTTGGAATTGTAATAACAGTTATTACATCGCTGGGTCTTCCCCAAGGAGTAACGTTAAAACTGTTACTTACCAGATTTCAGTGTATATTTACGTATCGTAGACCATTATTGAAGTCAACTTTGCTATCACTTGTCAAACTCCTCCCTTTTAGTAGGATCATAGGATTAAAAAATCTATTAAAACCTAACATAGTCAGTAATCGTGTTTCTATTGTGATATCTTGTTTTACTGCTTCTATTTGACATCCTGCAGTTTCAGCAAAGTAGGTTAGCTTAACACCGTGTCTTTCAAGTAACTTCTTCATACTGTCAAATGTGTAGTAACCTTTATTAACAATTACATCAGATTCTCCATCATCTGTTTTCACTTTGAGAATAGTTGTTGGTTCCCTTATGTTGAAGTACTCCCAAAAAACTGATACTCTCTTCACAAAGACTGAATTATAATTGCTTGTTAGAACTGAGTTCTGTAGTGATACAACAGTGTGCGAGCTCTGTAGTAAAATTGTGAACTTCATCTTAATAACATACGTTAGGTTATTAAGAATGAGACTAGGTGGAGGACAAGTTGGTAAGTCGCCGTATAGATCGTACCAGGACTATGAAAAAAAGTATGGAAAGAAAGACGATGAAAATTATGTTGATCCTGTTGCTGGTAAAAATGCAGAGAATGCTGAGAGGGCTAGATTTATTAAAAAGTACCCTCACGCTGACATGAATAGGTTTAAGTTTGAAGCAAAGGCTACTAGTAGTGGTGCTATAGGAGTTATAACTTGGTTTGTTGATTTAGATGGTATATCTTCATATGACATTAGATATGACGGTTTTAAGAAGGATAAGGAGTTTACATATTATCTCACAGGTACTAAGAAAATTATTACCCCCGCACAGTTTATACCTATGACCGATCCCGCTGAAAAGTTACCAGGTATAACTGCAACCAAGTTAACAATATCTTCCCCCGTAAAACCAAAAGGATGGCCGCAACTCTGGGATAGTAAAGGTGCTGTTCAGGAGTATGGACCTCTCGTATTACCAAAGGATCCTACTTATGATCAAAGAAAGTTGGGTTTCAGTCGAGTTTTAATTAATGATGATGGTTATTACATTAACACGTATAGACCTCCTGTAAGTCTTCCATATAACTTTAACAACTTTAGAATTTATGGAAATGAAAACAGTTATTCTATGTCTAACTTCCCTAGTGCTGGTGTAGGTTGGGATGAAGGTCCTAACTTAGCTAATAAGGATGTAAGAAAAGTTCCCTTCAATACTATACCATACACTAGAATGCTGTCTGGTGCTTATATAGCTAGCTATCTTAGTGGAGTATCCTTAGAACACATTCGTGAAAGTGATTCCGTCCCAAAGATAATAACCTCTATTATGAGATACCATCTTTACTACACAACTAGAAAGTTAACGGTTAGTAAAAGTGCTATTGATAAGCTTAATGTCAACCTTGATATTGTGGGAAACCATATTCCTATAAAGCAGAAATATATTATTGATGGAAGTGGTTGTACAACTAGTGCGGGACCTCTATCTGATAACGACTTCCTTTCATTCATAGCTGAAAAAAGTAATGGCTTTACTAAGTTAGGCGTTGAGCTCATCCAGGAAAGTATTGAGTCATATGTGTATGCTATGTTGGGATCTCAAGCTAACACAAGGTGGTCAATAGAAGGAAACGGTCCAAAGGCTCTCCAAACACAACGTAACTTTAGATCTGTTGTAAATGCTACTATTTTACAAAGTGATACAGTAACAGCAATTAGTAATATGAGGAAAGCTGTGAGGGATACAAATGTGATTCTAAACACTGCTCTATCTCCTGGAATAGTTCTGATCCCATCAAACTTTATCATTCTGATAACCCCAATACCTGGTTATAATAACATTCTAACCACGGCAACTAATACAATGAAATTTGGTGTGAATTCAAAGGTAAATTATACCGGCGTCAAGCAAGTTGATCCTCCAAAGAAAAAGCATCAAGACACTACACCAGTTCACCACCTTGATACTATTGATGGAAATAAAAAGGTTCCAGGAGGTCCTACAAGTGCTAAGCCTCAGGAAGGTTCTACAAGTGCTGAGACTCAAGTTGTTCCTATCATAAAACATGATGTGGTTAGTACCCGTGAGTCTTCAGGAGTTAGCGCTATCACTGGAGCTGGAATTGGTGCTATAGTTGTATTTATTCTAATGAAAATAATCTTGTAAACATTATGTATGTTATAAAATGGCTCTCTATAGGGGATACAACAAAGGAGTAAATAAAGTTGACCCATCAAGTGGTAGTGTGTTTGATAAGGATGGATTTACCATGAAAGGTGACATTGAGATGGATGGTAATGATGTAAAAGGTTTAGGTGCTCCTACAGATGATACGTCTGCGGTCACAAAAAAGTGGGTAGATGATGAGATCATTAAACAGGCTGCTATTACAATTCAACCTGCAGGGTTTACAATGACTGGGGATATTGACATGGGAGGTAATAAGATAACTAATCTTGATAATCCTACTAATCCAGGTGACGCTGCCAGCAAAAGCTGGGTTGAAGGCAGCCGTAGACATGTACATGCAAGTCTACCTGGACTTATCCTTACAAATGACCTCAATATGTCAACAAATGAGATAAAGGCTTTAGGTGATCCTACAACTGGAAAGTCTGCTGTTAGTAAGGATTGGGTAGTTGGAATGTTAAATAGGCCTGTAACTGGACTTGATATTGCTGGAGACATCGATATGAAAAACCATGAGATTAAGAATCTTAAGGATCCCTCTGAGGATCAGTCTGCTGTCACTAAAAAGTGGGCGGTTGATAATAACTTTAAATTGAAAGGTGGAATTATGCAAGCAGATGTGTCCATGGGAGGCTGGAGGTTATTTGATCTTATTGGACCTAAACTTAATAGTGAAGCTGTATCTAAGGGTTGGGTTGAGAGTAAGCTGTCAATATTTGCTACTACCACTGGTTTTAGAATGACAGGAGAACTTGACATGGGTGCAAATCGTATTAAAAATGTTGCGATTCCGAAAAGTGGAGGTGACGCTGTTAATAATAATACTCCGACGTCGGCCTTAAATTCTTTTAGAATATTAAGTGACACAAATTATCTTAAAAGAACCGGTGGCTCTATGACTGGAAATATGAATACAGGCACTTTCCAAATTTATTCCAACGCTGTCCCCGATAGGGACTCCTCCCTTGTGAATAAGAAGTGGGTGGTTGATAGGATTTCAAGAGGTGGAGTATACTCAGGTGCAGGTTTTACAATGGTAGGGGACATTGATATGGGTGGAGGTAAAATTGAGAATGTTGCTGATCCAACTACTCCCCAGTCTGTTGTTACAAGAAGTTGGTTTAATCTAAATGAAGGGACGTTCTTACGGTTAGATGGAACGGGATCCCTAAATGTTGCCGGTACTGTCAATTTCACAAATGCACCCACATGTAATAGCAACCCATCTAGAGACATTTCTCTTGTAAATCGTGGGTACCTAAAGCTGAGCCTTCTACC